TATTGCTGTAATCCCATCTCCCTGAAGCAGTAACAACAGTCACCCTGGGCTTCCTTTAAGAAATAAATCTAGGGCTTGTCAGTGGGGACGTGGTGGGGTGGACAACTGGAGGAGAGATGGAAGGGAGTTGTTGTGGTCAGATGAAGATTGCTTACAGTAGATTCAGTCCACCTATATCGCACCTATGAGGTGTGGCCTCTCAGCTTTATACATCTCCCTGGAAGGTACCTTGAAGATACGGCTGGATATCACTTGAAATGTTTCTGAACTAGTGCCAATAAAATACCAGCGTTTCATTCCCAATACCAGAACAATACCTCTTTGATATCTCACTTAAAAGAGGCCACAGCTTTCTAAAATTACATGTTGTCGAAACGAAAGCAACCATGTAATAACTTGACCTAAATAAAGTCATCTAAAATTAGCAAATTGAGTAAAACTTGCAAATCTGACCAGATGTGCAATGAGAGTTTTTGATACTCTGTGCTACACTTTGATCTGCACAGAAAAACTGTTACCCAGCTCAACTTCCAAGACAGCATCTCTTGTGCTTATGCATCTTATCGGCATATATTTCTGCACCCGTAGGTGACTCCTCACATACCACTTGTGGAGCCAATATGCAATGTATCCAGTCAGTTTTTATGATACAATCCAGGGCATAGAGGAGTGAGAGGGGTACGAGACTAACCATTACTATACCAGTGATATCTTACTTTTAAGAAGCCCTAACATAAAATAATTCACTGGTTCATTAAAGGAACAATTTGCATCCATCTTTCAAAGTAGTTCCAACTCTGAGTCTTTTATTACCTGACAAACTTAATTAGTTTAATACAACCAACATGATTTGCTTTGACCTTAAAAAAATAAAGTTGAAGCAACTCAATATTTTTCAAAAAGTTGTGTTGACATTTAGATGTCAAACTAATATATTTAAGATATTCTCACATATTTATTTTTATTCCATCCTTATTAAAAATGTCAAAAATGTTTTTGATTTTGACCAACTTCTTAAAATAAGTCATCAACTGACTAAAGCGCGTAAATGAAATAAACAAAAAAATGTTTATGTTGAAAACCTTAAGCGTATCCAATAACCCTGAATCACTTTTGTCAAAACTTAAGCAACCATATCACAATAACTAAATGTGCTTGGGCATCTTATCGGCATATATTTCTGCACCCATAGGTGACTCCTCACACAACACACAATGAATGGGAGCATCTTAATCTTAATTCAAATAAGACAGAGCCCATAATTTTATAAAAAATACAATCCACTGGTTTAATTTATAAAAAAAACTGAGATAACAATTAGCATGCAGCTTTTAGGTAGTCTTACAAAGAGTCTTTTATAACCTGACAAACTCTTTTAGTTCAATACAACCAACATGATTTGCTTTGACCTTGGAAAACTCAATTAAGTTGAACCAACTTAATATCTATCCAAAGTTGTATTGATATTTAGAGGTCAAAATACTCTAATTTATTTCAGTTCCTACTCAAAAATATCTTTTTAAAATTATTTGTCAAGTGTCTTAAACACATTAATGAAACAAAGTATTTTTTATGCTAAAAAAACACTTCTTTATTTAAGCATTACTCACTAACCAATCATACCCAGAACTTAAACAACCATATAATAACTTGACCTACATAAAGCAGTCTAAAATAAGTAAAATAAAACATGCAATGACAGTTTTCACTTTGATCTGCATGAATATGTGTTTCAACACTCAGCTTGACTTTAAGGCATCATCTCTTGTGCTGTCGTATCTTATCAGTATATATTTCTGCACCCAGAGGTGACTCCTCACACACCACTTGTAGAGCCAATATACAATTATTCAGTTTACGATACAATCCAGGGCACGGAGGAACGAGAGGGAGCAGCGACTAACCAATATAATACCAGTGATATTTTACTTTAAAGAAAACAGAGTTCTCTAATGTTATAAAAAGAATCCACTGGTTTAACTGAAAAAATAGGTAACACTTTGCATGCATCTTTTTAAGTAGTCCGAACTCTGTCAGGTTATAAAAGACGCACAGAATTTACTCAATAATGACAAACTGAATTACTTCAGTACAACCAACATGATTTGCTTTGACCTTGAAAAACTCAATTAAGTTGGACCAACTCAATATTTATCCAAAAGTTGTATTTAGAGGTCAAACTATAATATTTAAGATTTTCTAACTTGTTTACTCTAATTCCATCCCACTCAAAAATGTCAACTGTTATAGATTTTGTCTAACTTTTTAAAATAAGTCGTCATCTGACTAAAATACGTTAATGAAACAAATACATTTTTTTATGCTGGATAATAAAGATATTAATAACTTGACCTAAATAAAGAAGTCTAAAATAAGCTTAATTAATTAAAAAGTGAAAATTACAAATCTGACCAGACGTGCAATGAGAGTTCGATACTTGGTGCTACACTTTGATCTGCGCAAAAAAGTGTCTTGATACCCAGCCCGACTTCAAGGTAGCATCTCGTGCTTGCGCATCTTATCAACATCAACAGCACCCATAGATGACTCCTCACACACCACTTGTGGAGCCAATATGCCATGCATTCAGTCTGAGTGAGGTGTTTTTTTATGATACAATCCAGGGCACAGAGGAATGAAAGGGAGCAGGGACTAAATTTATACAGGAAGTGGGTACTTTCTGGTGCGTTCATTTTAACATCGACGTGCACACACAGACACCTCACACCAACGACCTGTGCCACATCTGGAAACAATTACACTCATGTTTGACTTGACCTGCCTGCACTAAGTGAACTCTGCCAACTTTTTTATGTGTTTGTTGCAGAGGCAGCGGTGACCCTGACACAGTGGCTGTGGGGGAAATGATGTGTAATTAGTAGGAGGGAACACGACTCCGCTCGTCTGAAATAAAACATCTTGCATTCACATCAAAAGACTGAGGCAGCTTGACAGGCCGTACACAGAAAAAATGAAGAAACGCACGGACTTGATATGCTATCAAATGACCCACATTGGAATTTGTGAGGACACGAGGAGCGCCTGAATTATCAAGCATCTCGGAGTAGGCACAGCAGACCTTTCATGTGCGGACAGCAAAGCAGACAGCGGATGATGCAATGTTTGATTTCTACACTTCAGGAGGCTGTCAGGACAGCGCGTACAATATTAAACAGTGTCGTGTCGGTGTATCAACCAGTCTAAATTAACCCATTAGTATGCTATGGGGAGAGGCGGGAAGATCAATGCATGAAACGGTTTGGAAATCTCCTTTGATACAAGATTTCCCAGCTTGAGCGAATTGATGAAATTCCTCTTGAAACACAGGCAACCATTTCACATGCCAGACTTTTCTCAAGACAGAGACTAATGTAGCCTGTCCTTTAACACAGTGAGACTGCTTTACTGCATCTTACACAGAAGCTATAGTGCATGTTAAAGCTGTTGTCAAAGCCTGCCACGGAAGAACTGATCATAAGCAGCACTAAATTCACTTCTACAGTTGCTGGGGTGTTTTTTTTAAGACACATTGTGTCAGTCTCGAGTACTCAAAGAATAATGAGCACTCATCATGAAGGCCACACAAATTTGTACTCTTTTAGAAGTAACTGCCAGCACCGAAAAACCTGCAATGTATCTGACACAGCGAGTCAAAAACAATGCACGAGAATTGGTGCACGGCTGCAAACAAGGACACCTCTCTTTGGGGCAAAAAGCCATTCTGTAATATTCTGTATTTTCTAAAGACAACACAGAGGCAGATTTTAAAACAGAGGCGCACCGGCCGAATCAGTCCAGCGGCTCTTAGCCAGTCATACCAATTTACTGGCTCCAGTATAAGGGGACGGGTGATGGGATTCAAAACCTCAAGTGAACTTTAACCACTGTGCATTCCTATTGATTTAAGCAAACATTACAGGGTGAGAAGGTGGCCCTCAAGTAAGAAAAGGCCCCCAGTCACAAAAACACTGTGACGGTGCAAAATCCACAAAGAAGTGATGCAAGTACATTCCATAAGCTGCTGATACAATTTCAACAGATGACACAGAGATACATGCAGTGACATGAGGAACACAGTGACACCAAATGCAGTTTTGATAAAGTTAACAGGTGAGTTTGAGTGTGTGAAGTTTCCAGGCCTTCAGATTTATTTATACACATTGATTGAAATAGCGCTGCTGCACTGATTTACTGCCACTCCCCTGTCCTAGAACTACCTCCTTGTCTCAGAGCCCAGGTTCAGCACTCATTTCCTGGGCTGACAGTCTACTCCAATTATCAAGCTAATAAGGGACCCCCTTGTGCAGTTATGGGAAAGGGGAGGTGAGTTGGGTCCAGGATGAGGGGGTACCACTTTGGTAAGTGTGTGTGATAGCTGCCGCCCACATCTTGTAAGGCGTGACTAATGGTCTTAGACAATGTTACGACAGCACTGCTTCGGTAGTCACCTGGGCAGCCTTGGCAGTTACTGAAAGAGTGGATCTTGGGGCCTGAGCCACAAGGAACTAAGGTTTGTGTCCATCAAAGGATGCCACTTAATCATATATTAAATGTGTGTGGATGGGTTATTTTGTTAGTTGTCATGATCACTGATGGAGTAATTTAGTGGTATTAGCCCAAGAAAGCAAAAAAAAAATTCCTCCATTCTCCACAAACCAAGCCTTCAAAAGATGCACTGAATATTTTTTTATTCCAAAGTCAAAAACAGGTGACATGCACCTGGGGAAGTCTTATAATTGAGTCCCTGTTACCCAGAGCAATCATGTTACAAATTAATATTATTAGTAAGGTGTTTGGAAATTCTGAGGCCAAACAACTTAATTCTTTCATTTTCTGCTGGACATAATGCAAACTGCCGAAGTAATCTCACATAAACCAATAAAAATGTGATTCACTTAAAAAGGAAAAAAACAACAGCTGTGCTGAAAGGCTGAAAAGGACCATAAATTTCAAGGCCAAAACAATTAGCAAGCAGCCACACAAAAGAAAACTTGGCTTACCTGTGCTGCTCCACAGCTTCGTTATCTGGTAGTTCTGCACCGCAAACATTGCAACGTTCGTGCTGGTTCCTGCCGTCTGGTTTCATGCCCACTGCCAGCTCCCCGAGCTTGCTGAAGAACTCTCTCTGGATGAAGCTCTGAGGCAGGAGTCCCCCGTAGGCACTGAAGTCCATAGACATTGCCAGGGCTGGGGACATTGGGAGAGTGGAGGCCATGGATGCCGGCATGGACATGATGGCATCTGCTTTATGATTGACAGGTAGGGAGTAGAGCGAGGCCAGATGTTTCTCCGTCATCCCGGCCATTGCTTCCAGCCCCATCTGGCTGGCGTCAGCTTGAGGATCGCCCATGCCTTCATCGCGGACGTAATGAAGCTCGCGGGCACTGGTTATTACGCTGCTCCTGGTTGGTGTTCCCGGACCATCTCGGTTCCTGTCCTCACCACTTCGCTCTCCATTGCTGGAAGCACTGGACTCCATGTTCGGAGGGCTGTCGTGGCCGTTCCCACCCATGTCCACTTGCATCATTTCCGTCTTGATCTCGGTCATCAGGTGGTGGGAGTTGCCGTGGATGAGATGTTCACCCCCGTAGCCCTGCTGGAGCAGAGACTGGCCGATGCTCATCAGGCTGTCCACGGCTGCTTTGGTGGGACTCAGGGTGGAGACGCCGAAGGAGGTGGAGACCGAGGGACTCTGGTCCACCATGCTAGCCATGATGGAGGCTTGCTGGGCACTCGACAGACAAGGGCTCTCCATGGAATGCTTTTTGGAGTTCTTGGCTCCATTGTGGCCTTTGCGCTCATCATCGTCCTCTGTGCTCCCATCGTTAACGTTGACCTCCACGTCATTCTCATCTGAGGACTGGATGGTTTCCAGGATCTTGAGGCATTGCTCCTCCAGGTATTCAATCTCCAGGATCTCTGCTGCATACAGAAGGTCATCTAAGTCCTCCACCTTGGCCTGGAGTGTGGCAGTGTAAGCATACTCCAAAATCTGCTGAAAAGTCTTTGGTGAAAGAAAGTCCAGGGTGTAATGCTGGCTGCTGCGGTGGAAGAGGATCTCAAACATTTTGCTTGTGCAGGCAAGCACAGTCCGGTGAGCGTGGAACTCCTGGCTGTCCACCATGATGACCACGTCACAGAGAGTCCCGGCCAGACGCATCTGGTTGGCCTTCTGCAGCAGGGCAGTGGGGTGGTTGGGGTTCTGGAGCTGGATCATACCCATTTTAGTTAAATCCATAATGTCGATGCAATCCACGAGGCCGACTCATGAGGCTCGCCTTCCCCGCTCAGCAGTGTTTTTAGCTATCTTTGTAAACAAGATGAAACCTGGACGGAGAAACAGAATAAAAAAAATAAATCAGTTCTGGTGAATTCTGATGCAACAGTAACAAAAAAATCAACTGGCCTTAACACTTTCAAATCCAAAAAATGCAAACACTCCCTTTTTCCATAAAGACAATGAATTGTTCTTTTTAAACTAGATTAAAAAATACATACAAATCCTAATCATTATTCACAAAAGTACGCAAAGCAAATTCATTAATTACATTTTGAAAATAAGAATGGACTGAATTTGTCACTACATTTATTTAAAGTATGCCCGTATTTATTCTGTAAATGGCAAGTGTGAAGTCTGTGGAGTTTCAAATTTCAAACATCCTGCAGGGATGGTAAACACTCTGTGCAGTCGCATTGTTCTCAAAATCAGCGGAGAGTATTGACTGTAGATTTCTGAAGAGAGACAATTTGTGAGGTGTCCAACAGGCTCACCCTGCATACCAATCAGTCCAACATATGTTATGTTAAAAAGATGTCTCCATTCGGTTTATCTGATGGGGATGTACACACAGTTAAACAAGTGTGAATTGTGGTTTTTCACTGCTGCCCGCCTCACAAAGACCGTCAGCAGCCTTTCTGAAATTAAATAGCATCTTACTCAGTATTCCCATCACAGACGGGAGCAGAGAGCAGCGGCCAGAAATGGATGGAAAGGAAAGCAGAACGAGGAGAAAGAACACAACGCTTCAGCACCAAACAACCCCTGCTCCGCTCTCACTCACTAATGCTGGATATCCAAATGAATGAGTGTCTCTGTGGCTGATGGTTTGTCCAAGTTAACAGGGCAACATGTTGCTGCGGCTCATATCTACAGCTGACCAACTCTAAAATAATAAAGAGAGGGTTAAATTAAATAGTCTGACCACCACGTGTACTTTAAATAAATTGCCTCTCCTGTTCATTATGACCCACACTGACACAATGCGCTCCTCATTCTTACAATTAAACAAACAGTCTTGCCACCACATATACTCTAAATGAATGAATGAGTGACTGCCAGCTAAGTGCCTCCCTTGACCCACATCCTGGATGAGCTCATTGATGTCCAATTTTTATCTACTCAATCTGTTCAATATATGACAAATAAAATAATGACATTTTCACTCAGTTCTGGTCCACTTTTTTCCGTTTTGAAAAATGTGAATTTTCATTTTCAGATGCTCCAAATTCATTTTTGAAGGGCTTCATTTTCTTTTTTTTAAATAATAACGAATGAAAAAGAGAAGTTTGTCTTTTCCTTCCTCCCCTCTTGAGAACAATACACACTCAGACACAGGAAAAAAAAAGAGGAAATATCATCAGCCTTGCAGCTACACGACGACTTTTCTTTAAAAATAAAATAATATCAGTAATTCCCACATATGCAACTTTAAAAAAAAAAAAAGCAGAAGTCTAAATCAGAGCATGCAGGAGGTGAATGATGGCTGGCTGCTATTGTTTGTGGGAAGGATGATGGAGAATAAATATTCTTGCTGCTTTTGGGACACTGGACAATTTCTTTTTTGGTTTTCGGCGCAATGATAGAATCGATAGGTGATGATGAAACCACAGGTTCTCACTTCACTGAGCTCTCAGTCAGCAGAGGTCATGCCTAAAACCCCGACATTATCTTTATTACAGGTAAGCCAATAGCTGCGATTTATGGGCCCCGTAAATGATCAGTGCTTGTTGCGCTCTGTGGGTTTTCAACCAAGCTGTGGCTTCACCCGGACACAATGAAGGCTAAAGTTGCTGTTCGGGGACTTTATCGCGTCTGCTGGCTCTCTATTAATAAAAAAATAATAATAAAAGGACAGAGCTACGTGCGTCTAGACGGCGTTAATAGTGCCAGTCGCACCAGACAAATTATACGGCGCGTTATGCATTATGCAAAACATCACGTACTACATTAAGTACATTAAGCCAAGAGAGATTTTCTCGCTGGAGGACAATGTAGAGCCGCTGACAATAACCACATTGGGGCCGACTTCACAGAAAGGCAGCATAATCAATCTGATCACGAGTTGTCTGCCATAGCGCGCCTTGGCGACCCAGCCACAACAAGAATAAACAGCGTTCAATATTCCAGACCACGAGCCACACTGACAGACACAAATGTGCAGAAAGCAAAATGGTAACGGCGTCTCTAAGAGGTGGAGGTGGAGGGGGGACACAATCAGAGACACTGAGCGTGCTAAAAAGTATACACGAGACAGACAGCTGCCAGAAATCTCTCGCCGATTCCATCCAGCTCTGCTCTGATCAACGCACAGGTGGACTTTGTTTGAGGGCACAATTAAATGCTCAAATACCGGCTCTGTGCGGGCAACGAGATGCAGGAATGATGTGGGAAAAGATGCCCAGGGGATAAAGAGAAAAAAAAGAGTGAAAGGGGGGAAGAGAGAGATCAGACAGTCTCGATAACAAATCAATTTGCCATTGCATCTGTTACCAGTTCCCTACCTCACAGTACGCCGCGCGTGCGACTGCGAATCGATTATTGGTCACCAATCAAACATGTAGTTGCCTGTCAATCAATTGTAGTGTGACTGTGCAGTGATTGGATTTTTGGTTTGTTTCGCGTAGAAAGACCAGTGTCCCCAGTCCTCATCATGATGTCATCACGGCTAAATGAGCCACACTGGTGCGTCTGGAGACACAAGGACGGGCAAAGAGTGTCGCTGTCTAAAAATTGCACAATTTCCATTAAAACGAGCAAACGCGATTTCTCCAGTAAAGTCACATGGAGGAGGAGGAGGAGGGGGGGCGTCATATGTTGTCTGGCTCCCGGTGAAACAGCCAGACCTCACGTCCTCTAGCTGCGATCTCCAGCATACTAAACCAGACCGAGAGAGGGGAGGGGGTTACGTCAACCTTAACATCTCTACAATAGACTACCGTGCGTTAATGCAAACTTCAACACCTTGCAGCGCAATCAGGAAAACACTTGTTTTCATCCAGCACTCCGGTGCGCAGATCCAAGTTGCGTGCCAAAGTCGCGTTTACTGTTAACTTCAGCATGAGGTTGAACGGGGACAAGCAAAACGATCCCCAGCGCCTATAAATGCATCAAAATATCCACATGGTGAATGAAAGTACACAGAGAAAACAGTGGTAGACGCAAGCAGAGTAGCGGGTCTGGCACTTGTCGCCGGGAAACTGCAGCTGCGTTTAGCCCGGATCGGTACTCACCTAAGTTGCACGTTTTGATTCCGTATAGTGTAGGGGGAGTGGGGCTACAGCATAGTAAGGCAGTTCGCAGTACCCGCTCTCTCAACACGCACTAACTCCTTTCTTCTCTCGCCTTCGCAAATCAACACGGCGCTGACGTCAACGCAGCCAGTCAGCCAGACGAGCAGCAGGCAGGCGGGCAGCCGGCTCTGCGCTCCAGCCATACAAACACTAAGAAAGTGAGACACCTAGGGGGCTGTCTCATGTCAAACGGCTGTGTTACAGTATGGCAGTGAAAGGTGAGCGACACTGCCCTCCCTCCAGCTGTTTGAATGCACATGCAGCCTACAGTTGCTCTCCAACTCCAGCCAGGGGCACACTTAATGCTTTGGCGGTCCTGTAGCAAGAAATCAATATGTGTGCTCCCGAAGCCCCCTCCAGCCATTTTCAATCAATTCATTGAAACTATACTCATGTTTAAGTGGCAGCAGAGCTCAGCACAGGTGGATGCAGAGGTTAGCTGGGGAAAATAATGCAGCTCATCCATCCTACATGACCAGAGATGCATCCTGAAGGTGCTTTAAAAAATAATCATGTTATTCTGAATATTCTAAAAGCCAGTATGACTATTATGAGCCAAAAAAGTGCAGACATATGCGTACACATCTGGCATCACAGGATGTTTAAAGTCTTTAATGGCCTTTGGTTGTTCATAGTGGTTTTAATATTTGAGTATTTCATAATCTTTTTTACATATATAATTGTTCTTATCAGTATTATGTCGTTTTATATTTGTGTACATGTTATATTGCTATAAATTTGTGTGTCATTTGTTTAATTTGCACAGCACTTTGTTCAACTGTGGTTGTTTTTAAATGTGCTATATAAATAAACGTGATTTGATTTGATTGAATTTGATTTGGTATAAAAACTGTGTGGCATGACCACTTTTGTTCTCCAGGGTCACAGAATTTCACAATCAAAATTATCGAAAGTTTTGCAAAAGTCATGGAATTTTGACATGTATATTGAAACTTGTTCACACTAGTCTTCCATGGATAACTGTCCACATAATGTAAAATTAACTGCAAATTATTTTTCTGTAGCTGTAGACGTAACGTAGCTCTAATACGTGTCAATGTGTGACAACATTTTGTTGACCGTCGTGGGCGTTTCCTCATTTTTTCCTGGGGTTCGTCTCTCCCTCTGTGTATGCCAGCTGGCTGAAATAATATTTGAATAAAGTTTGCATATGATATGTTTGAAATGTCAAGTAAGTGGGGTAACAAAAAATCCTGGGTCCTTGAAAAGTTGTGGAAAAGTTGTCCATTAAAATGTGTGGCAACCCTTCTCCTTCTTCCTCAGTGCAAACTATTAACATTATATTCAGGGCTAAATTTGACTATACCACATTCAAGAAATGGAAAACTATTACAGACAGGGAGAGAGCAGGCTGTATAAAGTTGGTCACCAGATCAGTAGGGAATTATATTATTCATCACTTTAATGCACAGTGTTCAACAATACTAAAGTTCAACACATTCTTACTTCGACCTCGTCACATATCGATGTTCGGTCATGGACCCTTCACATCCAGATATGACTTGAAAGGTACCCTGAGTGTGTTGGTTGTTCATGTTCTGGGACGCCGTGTCAAGTCCTGCCTGTTACATGCATTGTCTTCTTTCAAAATACACTTCCATTTTCACAGGAAATTTACCATTTACATACAGTCTCTTTCAAATAAATGCCGTTACAACAGGTCGGTACAACACCGCAAAGTGATTTATTTATTTTTTCCTCCAAAAACTAACGCAGGTGGTTAGGTTTAGGAAAAAAGAACAGGGTTTGGCTTTATAATCTTATAAGATGTGAACACCGCTCTCCCAGGTGAAAGTCGGTGTTTCGGGGGATTGGGGACCAGGTTTAACAACAGCAAACTATATCAAGACATCCGTTTACAGACTTTTACACACCTTATGTTTAGTACTTCCAAAACACACGCATTTCCACTAAAAAACTTTGTATAAGCAATATGTTCTCATTCCGGGTCGTCACATATCGCCGCTTTGTCAGTGGACCCACGTCTACATATTATGCGTAAGGTATCCTCCTGTATCTGCTGTTGATGTTCCAGGACACTGCAACTAATGCCAGGACATCAACAAAAGCACATGGTTAGATTTCGGCAACAAAAGCACTTGGCCTAGGTTCAGAAAAAAAAAATGGTTTAGCTCAATATTCATAAAGGAAGCTAACACCGGGCTCCCAGGTGATTGTCCTGGGTTTGTTGGACCCATCCACTACCCCTCCCAGCTATAGGGACTTTCCAGCACCTTATATTATGTTGTTTCAAGCAGCGTTTTAAACTGACGCCATCCTGTGGCATCATACTGCTGCGACAGGTGCCATCCATCCGGGTTATGAACTGACGCGTCCTGTCTGTGTATCATACCGCGACAGGGGCTGTCCAGCTGACCAGAGGCGTATCATAGCAACACAAAAACTTCCATCCCGCAGCATTATTAACTGACACTGCCCAGTGGCGTATCAAACCGCTGCAAAAAGTAACTCTTGGCGTCAGTGTCTGACTGTACTGACTGTATTTGACAACTGTGGAATGAGAACTAAGCTGGTATTGTAGTCTGGCTTTGAAGAGACAATTTCACTTTCAGTTTTGAATAGTGAGGTTTTAGTAAAAATGCATGTGTTCGGGAAGTACTGAACATATGACTGGATAAATGAGACTCGGATTATAATGCACAAGTTGTGTGAGAGTTTGTAAATGGATGTTTTAATGTGGTTTACTGTTGTTAGAGGTGGTCCCCAATCAATCAATAAATATATCCCCAAGACCTGAACTTTTGTTTGGTATGCATTTTTAATTTCTATGTGGGATCAGTAGGACCTGATAAGTATAAAAACCTGAACATTGTCAACAATAATTAAGTCCCAATGTCTCAAATGAGATGATGATAAAGTCCCACTATCTTCCAGCGAGTGTCTTCTGATTGTCTTATCATGTTACTGTTGCTTAAACTGGTCAAATTTGTTGCCATACCAAACTGCAAACATTAATAATCAAAAATAAATTAGTTTCAACCATAAAATGTGACCAGGCTTTGGACCTTGTCTACTTTATGGTCGGGATCGACTGCAGACTGACTAGGCAGAGATGGCTACCATCTTGTTTTTACATGGTTAAGTTTGCCACCACTAGATGGCACAAAAAAGTGTCCACAAATGAGGACAACAGGTATAAGTGAAGTAGAAAGAAGTATAAGGTCAAGTCAATCCAAAATGTGATCTCCTCATATGAGGACACAGGGTCTCAGGAGGATATGTTTGACATTTTCCGTGGAAGCATGCAAAAACCCCAAAGTTTTCTCTGTAAATTTGAGGTGAAGTCATGGAATTCAATACAATTCAAATCCATGGTATAACTGATATATATGAACTGTCATTCTGTGGGTGAAATACTCCTCTAAGGACACAAGTATCAAGCTGGATTTAAGGAATCAAATGTTTTTTTGAGTCTATTGCAGAGGCACTTTTGTTTAAGATACTGACACTAATTTGAAGAAAAAGCATGAAAAACAAAAGGAGCTGCACCAAGAACAAGTGGCACTTAGCTTCTCTTATATACATATATATATATATATATATATATATGTATGTCCTCAATGATCAATATAGTGAACGACTCTCAGCTGGATGGTTTTGCAGTGCATTAACAATCCTTAATTGTTTCTCAGCATAGCTCTAATTTTCCTTTTGCCTTTATTCCGTTGACCAATAACCAGGACACCTCATTATCATTTGGCCTGATATAACTTTGGGGAGTCTTTCATAGTAAAAGCATACTTCAGAGCTTCTCTAAAAAATAAACCTGACTGATACTTTTGCAGTAATGATGATAGCTGACTGCAGGCTATTCTTTACTTATGATTTAATTCCACAATATTTTAATTCTATTGTTATGTTCCCTTTAAGTGCTGCTTGCAAGTTCTTAGAGTCACGAATATACATTTTTCCACAGTTAGGTGCTTTGTCTTTGTCTGTTTGATTTTAAATTAGACTGCAGCAGTAGAGGGAAAAAGAGAATGTGAGTACAATGTGTATGTAAATCTATGTATTTGTTGTTCCTTTGTACAGACATGTATGTTCCCTATTTGCTTTGTTGAAACTTTCATTTAATGCCACCAGCATGTCAAAGTTTTCACATGTCCATTGAAATATCTCAACATGTACCAGATGGACTGGCTCACAGTTTATGGTTTGCAGATCGTGTAATCTATTGATTTTGTTGACTCTGTGACTTTTGTATAGCGCCACCAGCAGGTTTACAATTTTGGGTCAGAGTTTTGATTAAGTCTTGTTTTACAATGGAGTATTTTCTGCTAACATGCCAACAAGTTCTCATACCAAGTCGTCACATATCGCCGCTTTGTTAGTCGACTTTCACATCTATATATTACACACTAGGTATCCTCCTGTATCTGCAGTTGACGTTCTGGGACACTGTAACCAACGCTGGGACGTCAACAAAAGCACATGGTTAGGTAAGGGCAACAAAAGCCTGTGGTTGGTTAAGGCAACAAACACAAGTGGTTAGGTTTATGCAACAAAAGCACATAGTTAGGTTTAGGCAACAAAAGTATGTGGTTCAGTGTATATAACAAAAGCACATGGTTATATTTAGGCAACAAGAGAGCACATGGTTAGGTTAGGGCAACAAAAGCATGTGGTTAGATTTAGGCCACAGAAGCACGTGGTTAGGTTTAGGCAACACAAGCATGTGGTTAGGTTTGGGAAAACAACAATAGGTGGTTAGGTTTAGGCAACAAACCCAAATGGTTAGGTTTAAGCAACACAAGTGTGTGGCTAGTTTTAGGCAACAAAAGCATGTGGGTAGGTTTAGGCAACAGAAATAGGTGTTTAGGTTTAGGCAACACAAGCAATAAGTCAGGTTTAACTAACACAAGAGTGTGGCTAGGTTTAGGCAACAAAAGCATGTGGGTAGGTTTAGGCAACAGAAATAGGTGTTTAGGTTTAGGCAACACAAGCAATAAGTCAGGTTTAACTAACACAAGCATGTGGTTAGGTTTTGGCGACAAAAGT